TGCTTGTATTTGTCACACAGATTGGCATCCTTTGCCCGGAAACCGCGTCTACTGGCAGTGGGCTGGGGGCTCTGGGATGCCAGCCATTGAATTCACGGGAGTCCCATTTATGTTTGTGGGCTCTAAAAGGCTCGTCTGCCATCAGGGCAAGGACCTCGCCGTAGCTCAGAAGCAGAGATATGCCGAGGAAAGGGCAAAAAAGACGGTGATTTCACTGCACGTTCAACACACACACAGAGGCTGGCTGGTGATGCGAGGATCCGAGGGATTGGTTGTTTCGCTGCCAGGCAACCGATGACGCTGCAGCCTTGGAGAAAAAGGCGCGCAGAGTAGACGAGTTGGGAGTAGTGCTGTGGGATACTGAAATTTGTGTATCAATCCAATACTAAGTAAATACAGGACCAATAGTGACAACACTTTAAACCTATAAAAGGCAGCTTATGTAGTGGAGAGCATTGCGTCATGATTTATCAGACGAATCATCATTAATGTCCAATTTCTGAACACAATTTAATGGCCTATAAGTCAGTGTGATTTTTACTTTTCCACAACAAAACGCACCTTTTAGTTTTTCATTTATTTTGAAATTGGGGCTTTCTGGAGACCTCGGATGTGCCTGTCTCTAAAGCACTTTGGATCAACTACTGTCATTTAAAGGTGCTATAGGCTTGGATAGCATGGATATTATCAATATTAGGATCAATCTGCTCACTTCTAATGGACAGCAGTGAACCACAGCTGCTAAGAAAGGCGCACGACTCCACCTGTTTCTCAGTGTTTGATTTGAGTATGCTTAGATGTTCTGCTCAAGTTAGCTAATCTTGACATGAATTATTGAATGCATTATTTAACTGATTTCTTTCCCATAATCCACAGATGATTGACCACACTTTAGTTAGGAACAAATCAAACTCGCAGTCTAGTAAAAAGGTGGGATGCCCAGCAGCCATATCAATCAGCAAGATTGCAACATTCCCTAAATTCAAGGTAAGTGGAAATGTTGGCTCTCCTACAGGAATGTGACCTTTAAGCAAAGACAGCTGAATTTAAAGGAGAAAGGCATGGAGTACGAGTTTAGGACTCAGACTAAATCATTTTGTTTCGGCACGTGTTTCTCTCCATGATCACCACTCTGATTTCTATCTGCATGCATGTAAGTTGGAAGAAGACAGGGAGAGGAGTAAGAAGGCAGCCTCCAAGATGCTGAAAGAGGCTTTGGAGAGAGATCCAGTTGTGTGGGGAACATGCTATGTTGTTACACAGCCAAGTGCGCATGCTGGGCACGGAATGGGAGAAATGGTAACGAACAACAGTCTCCTCACAAAGGACAAAAATCTGTGTTTCCATGTGAAACTACAAGTGTGGTATGTTTAAAGGAGCCCGTGGACGCAAGAGTGGAGCAGCAGGTGGTGGAGCTCAGAAAGCAGGGCGTGAGGAAGGTCAGCGAGCTGAAGCGTCATCTTGCTCAGTTTGTAACAGCTGAGCTTTTTAAGGGAGCTAACCCACCCCCTGCGTCCAGGCGCCGGTACTACCCCTCAGAGAAGGACCTCCGAAATATAATGGCTAAGGTGAAGGACCAGGCTCGGCACAGAATCGATCAGGTGAACCTGGAGGTGAGCGGCGCCTTTATCACTCCTGTTTGGGTAAAACACCAGCATGTGACTAGTCTGTATAAAAAAAGAAAAAAAGATTGCATTTGTTGCAGGGCTTGTTTGAAGAATGGTGTGCTGCTACACCTGAGGACAAGTTCCATCTGCGCCTCCGTACAGAGGACGCCTCCTTCCTCTTCTGCCATCAAACGTTGTGGCAGATGAGGCTGCTGCGCCTGTATGGGGCAGACGTCTGCGTGTTCGATGCCGCCTACAGAACAATCCGCTACCCTCTGCCCCTGTGCTTCTTGTGCGTCCGCACTAACATGTGCTACTCCGTTGTGGGAGTGATGGTACTCCAAGAAGAAACAACAGAAGCCATCAAAGAGGGTCTGGAAGTGTTCAAGTGTTGGAACGCAGACTGGAGGCCAGCAAGCTTTATGGTCGATTGCAACGCTGCCGAAATCCAAGCTGTTGAGTCTGTGTTTGAAGGTACGGTGAGCTAAAATGGAAACAAAGTGATCACTGTGGATTTTTACTCTTTTTATACATGTTGGTGTTATGATTATATATCAGTGTGCTCTCTATTCAGTCTCTTTCTACCTCTGTGCAGGCACCAAAGCGCTGCTCAGTGACTTTCACAGGGAGAAGGCATGGGACGAATGGATACAGAAGGAGCATCGAGTGGCTGACAAAGGAGATGCTCTTACAAAGCTGAAAGCGATAGCCAGCTCACTCACTGCAGAGCAGTACGAGGAGGCAGTGAAGGCCCTGATGGCCAGCCACACCTGGGAACAAAATCCTGCGTTTCAGAGCTGGTTTTCAGACACGTGGTTGTCCAAAGCAAAGGTAAGCATCTGAGAAAAAAGCAGCTCCTGCACAGAGACATTTGAAAGGAAATGGGACAAAAGAAGTTGCAAAGAAAAGAGATTTGCTATTTTGGTGAAAAACTAACATAAAATTAGAAAACAAATTGGGGATTTCATCGACTATGATACATTATGTCATTAAAATAAATCATCAAGTTTAAAAGCCTGCCTCTGTTGGGTGGCCTGAACACAGCAACATGGGTGACTTGCTTATGTGTGACAGTCACATTAATGCTGAAGAATACAGCACAAGCCACTACCTTCCAGATTATATCCCTTTAAAGTAAAGTTTGGCTTATTTAAAATTGCTGTGAGTAAAATCTCATCACTAGATGGTGGTAGATATTAAAATATAGATGTTATATACATTTTAAAAAGGTTAAGTGGTCATATATAGTTTGAAAGGGTTACTTGTGATCTTTAAGTTAAGCCTGTGCCAGGTGATAAAGCAGCCTGGCTTCAAGCAGCTGAAATTCTATCGCCACAACAAACCCTCGCTATATCTTGCTTTGTTTAAGAGATGGGTGTCTGCCTTCAAAGAAGAGACACTGAATCTAACCATCATCACAAACCACGAGACTGAACACCAGAATAAATTGTTCAAGCACAAATACCTGGAGGACTACAGGGACCGGACATTATCTGAAATGCTGGACATCGTGACACATGTGTACATCCCTGAACTGCGGAGGACGTAAGTTTTCCATTTGCACAAGCTTGTCTTCAGTGTGCACGTCATGTCAGCAAAAATAATGTTTCTCTTTCAGGTACATTGAAGCTAATGTGAGGTCATACAGACAGCGTGACTCCAGTGTCCCTCCTTTCCTGTGGGACAGACCCGCAGACGTCATTCAACACATCACGAGCTGCATGGACAGCTCTCTCTCTGAGGGACATGTGGTCAAGCTGGGCGACGGTGTGTTCAGAGTGAAGAGCGAGACACAGGAGGACCAGTCTTA